TGATGCCTCGCTTTGTCCCCCAAGAGAAGCAGGGTCAGATGCCCTGAGTCCCCCAACCATCCTACTGCCTCCCACCGATGGACCCCTCAGCCCCACAGCACCCCAACACCAAGCAGGGCAGGAGTATTTATTCACCATCCACATGCCTGCGGGGACACAGCTTGGGGACATCCCGTGGGGGGGCACAGGACAGCTTGGCGACCCCCCTGACCACCCACTGCCCGCTCCTGCCTGCAGCCTCCTGCTCAGAGCAGGGCCAGGAGTGCGGGGGGCAGCAGGGCCAGCAGGACAGGGAGTGGGGGGCTTGGGGGAGCATCGCCACGGGCGTAATACTGGGCGACAGCGACGTTGGGGTTCTCCTGTGCGGGGTCAAACCACATCTGGATGCAGCGGCCACTGCCACGGTGGTGGGATGTGTAGCGGTAGGAGCCGGACCAGATCTGCTCGCAGAGCGCAGCCGCCGTGGGGAACACGAACTTGAACTTCTGGCACATGGCGCCCTGGGGACACTGGTTGGTGCCTGGGGTGGTCAGGGGGTGAAGTGGGTCAAGGGCTTTGGGAAGGGGGAGTGGGTCATTCCCCTGTGCGTGGTATTGGGGTCCAGATGGGTCCCACTGGCTTTGCTGGGGGAGGGGGCGTTGACCTCAGGGTGGCACAGGGGCTACCACCCCATCACCCTGCACCCTGTGAGGACCCTCACCCCCGCCCTGCCGACCCACTCACAGGCACAGGGACCCTCACCAGGCTGCCAGCAACCCCCATCACCCCCACCCCTTGGGGATCCTCACCCCCAGACCCACTCACAGCCACCAGGAATGGGGAACCCACAGCGGGGTCCAGCTACTATGATGAGTGGGTCCCTCGTGCCCCCCACTCACCTGAGGTCCAGTTCCAGCCCTTGTGCCAGTTGACCTTGCAGGTGACAGCATCCTGGCAATCCTCCCACCACTGCTCACAGTCCTCCTGGCACAGCGGCACGTCCCGGATCCGCTCCTTCCGCCAGGTGTTGTCTGCCTGCAGGGCCCCCAGTTCACCCCAGTTCACCCCACGGGTCCCGTCGAGTGGGTGAGGGGGGGTCTGCACTCACCTGGTCGATCCATGGCCCCAGATTGGGGGAACACTCGTACAGACACGTGTCCTGGATGAAGTGGCGCTTGCACTTCTGCGGCATGGCCCCGCAGTGGTCCCAGTTGAAGTTGTACAGGTAGGACTGGTCCTCGTGGGCTTCCTGACTGGTGTTGGCAGTGCAGCAGGCATTATCCTTCCAGAGGACACACTGCACCAGGGCGGCCAGGGCTCAGCTGGGACCCACCAGGGCTCAGCTTGGACCCACTGGGGGTCCAGGGAAATCACCAGCGCCCACAGGGAGGTGACACTGGGTGATGGAGCCCATGTCGGGCTACAGACCCCCCTGCGGTCCATCCTGGTGACCCCACAGCGAGTGGCACCGGTGGGTGCTGCAGCAGCGGGTAAGGACCGTACCTGCCCGTAAAGCTGCCCCTCAGGGCCAGGCTTCTCTTTGTGGTGCTTGGCACTCATGCAGATGTTAAGCAGCGAGTCCCGTGTCACCGTCCCGGCAGTGGCAGCTGGCCAAGCCACCAGCACCAGCAGCGCCAACGTCACCGCCATCGCTCTGCCGGGGCGGCGGGGGGGTGAGGGCGGCAGAGCCGAGGCACACAGTGACAGCGGGGACAAAGTCCCACACCGCGCACACGGGAGCGTGGCAGCACGTGGGCACGGCCCGGGACCCCCCGCGGGGGCCTGGGGATCTTACCTGGGGGGCACCGGGGGCCAGGGCTCTTCTCTGAGGGGGTGCTGGGCTTCGGGTGCCATGAGGTGAGCGCAGCTCATCTCAAAGGTCGTGGCGCGGCACAACCATTGGCCACCGGTCACGGGACGTGGGGACACAGCAGGTTCGGCAGCGCTCTGGGCGCGGAGGAGACGGGGCACCGCACCCCGACACCCTGCTGTGTCCTGGGCTGACCCTCGCGCCCATCCCAGCCCCCCCAAGCCCTGCATGGAGCCAGGATTTGTCCTGCTGGCGCCAGGCTGGGGCCACCGCCAGCCAAAATCTACCCGTGGCTGTTTTTCCGTCCCTCCCGTGGGAGGCGGCTTCATACCCTGACTGCAGCTCGAGGGGCAGGACCTAGCCCCTGACACCGCACGGTCCCCGTGACTGCCCTGGGGGGTAAGAGGTGGTCCCCGGGGGGGGGGGACAGGTACTCCTGTGGGGTCACAGATGACCTCAGGGTGGGGGCAGGTACCCCTCACTGACACCATAGATTCTCCCGATGGCCCTTGGGGATGTGGGCGGGTAGATACCCTGGGGGGGACAGTCATCCGTGGCTCGGAGGGGACGGAAACCCTCTAGTGTCAGACATACCCTGGGAGGGGCAGATACTCCAGAAGGGGCAGATACCTCCAGGTTCATACATGATGGGAAGGCCAGACATGCCCCTGGGGTCCCAGATGCCCTGGGTAGGGGGGCAGATACTCCTGCGTGGGTGTCAGGTACCCCGTGGGGGTCACGGATCCCACCCACGGGTGACAGTTGTCCCCAGAGAAGCAGATACTCCGTGAGGATCACAAATACGCCCCCACTGGGGTCACCCCCAACCGTGGGGGTCACATATCCACTATTAGTCACAGATACCCCAAGGGGGGCACAGATACCCCCGTCCATGGGTAACACATGCCCTGGGGGGGGGGGGGCAGATGCCCCATGGGGATCACAGATACTCCATAGGGGTCACACATGCCCCATAGGGGTCATAGGTACCCCATGGGGCTCACAGATTCCCCTTGAGTCACAAATACCTGTGGGGGTCACAGATACCCCTCTGGGGTCACAGATGCCCCCAGGGGTGTAACATATCCCCGGGGGGGGTCACAGACACCCCCGGGGGGTCACAGTTTCCCCGGGGGGTGTCACATATACGGGGGGGGAGGGGGGGTGTCACAGATACCCCATTGGGGTCATAGATACCCCTGTGTGATGTTACATATCTCCGGAGGGGCCACGGATGCCCCCGTGGGGGTCACATATCCCCGGGGGTGGTCACATATCCCCTTGTTGGGGTCACATATCCCCTGGTTGGTCACATATCCCCCTGTTGGGGTCCCCGTTGGGGTCACGGACGCGCCGGGGGGGGTCACATATCCCCCCAGAGGTGTCACATATACCCCCATCGGGGTCCCATGTCCCCCGTTGGGGTCACGGGTGCCCCGGGCCCGCTCGCGCGGAGGGCGGAGCCCCCGCCTGTCAATCAGAGCTGGCCCCGCCCCAGCCGCCGTTCATGCCGCGCGTTGTGGGCGCGGCCTCGTCGGACACACACACACCGCGCATGCGCCGCGGCCGGTTCCGGTGCGGCGCTTCCGGGTCGGGCCGGCGCGGCCGCGGAGCCCCCGCCATGGCCACGCTGTTCCCGTCGCTCCTGCCGCGCCTCACCGAGCCCCTCTGGTTCAACCTCGACCGCCCCTGCGTGGACGAGACCGAGCTGCAGCAGCAGGAGCAGCAGCACCAGGCCTGGGTGGGCACCAGGTGTGGGGAGCGGGGAGCGGGTTTGGGCCTGGGGGTCCGGGGAAGCGGCCCCCGAGCGGGCACGTCCGCGGGGCATCGCGGGTGTCCCGGGGCACGGGGCTAATGAACAGGCTGGTGCCGAACCGGGGCAAATGCAGAGCCCCCGTTATTTAACGGATCGTCTCCCGCGAGAGGCGAAGGCCGATCTCTGACCCCGGTAACTCACAACGCCCGCGCCGTGAGCGCTGTTCGGTGCGGCGGCGTCCCTGAGTGGGGGGGGGAAAGACATCTGCTTGATTAAAGTTTTTAAAAAAGCAATTTCTCGGTGATTAAGTTATTATAATTAAGTAAAACAGCTTCAGTCAATTAAAACCCTAGCACCTGGGAGAGGTTCCCGGTCCCTCTGGGTGGGAGGTCCTGCACATTTTAATTGAGCTTTAATTATCTGCTGCGGGTGTGTTAGTCTGGCTGAACAGATACCTCGAGTTTGGGGTTTTTTTTGATAAAAAAATAGATAAACTTAGTGTTTGAGCTTCTCATGCCACATGGGGACACCCCCAGTCCCCTCACTCCCAGGGTGTCCTTGCTAGGGAGTGCAGGCAGCTGTCTGCAGCCACTGTTCACTCAGCTGGGCACAGGCAGGGGGATCCCAGTGGGGGGAACAGGGCTCCTCGGGCAGCTGCCAGCTGGGAATAGCCGTGGTCAGGGAGCAGCGTGAGCCGGCAGCCGAGCGGGGAGTGCGCGGGGTGTCCCAGAGCTGCCGGGGTGCTCACCCGCCTCTCTGCCCTCCCCAGCTCCAGAGCATTGCCGAGAAGGACAACAACCTGGTGCCCATAGGAAAGCCAGCGTCCGAGGTGGGTGTGTGGGCAGGGAACTGGGGGGGTGCCGGGGGGCTGGCGGGGCCCTGGAGCTGTCGTGTCCACAGCACTACGACGAGGAGGAGGAGGAGGATGATGAAGATGATGAAGACAGCGAAGAGGACTCTGAAGATGACGAGGACATGCAGGATATGGATGAGATGAATGATTATAACGAGTCTCCTGATGACGGGGAGATCAATGAGGTAAATAGCGGGGCTGGGGGCCCCACTGCAACCCCAGAGTAGGGGATATGCAGCGTGTAGGAGCCTGAGCTGAACCTCAGAGGAGTTTCTCCTCTCCTCCACCCCCTCTCCTGGGTCCCTGCTCTGGTGGGGATCTCAAACCTCTCCCTTTCCCAGGTGGACATGGAGGGGGCAGAGCAGGATCAAGACCAGTGGATGATCTGATTCTGCCATGACCACACCAACCGGAGCTGGGGAGAGCCCTTGCCCCCCGTGGCTCTGGGGGGCAGGTCAGTGAAGCTCCTCCTGCCATGGGTGCTGAGTGGGGGCCTTGGAGCGGAGCCCCTCTGGGGGAGCCAGAGGCAGCTGTCACCCAGCACATTGGGGCTGACACGTCTTTTCTAATAAACTCAGTTTACAAGAAAACAACCCCAAATCTGGTGTCTGAGGCCACCAGGGCAGGCAGGGGCAGCCATGGGGGTGCCACGCGGGCAAGTGCAGGGCTGCTCCCCACCATGCTTCCTCGGGCCCTCTGGCAGAGCTCCCTGCAGGGACACGGGGAAGCAGCGCGGGCAGGAGCCACTCGGGGAGCGAGTTTCCCCCAGCACCCCCCACAGACCACAGCAGCCAGCACATTTCCTGCAGAGCCCGTGTTGCAGCCAGCGTTGCAGTCGGTGCCCGTGGCAGCGCGGGGCGGGAGCTCGTGGCCTGGTCAGCGGGCGCCGGTGTAGCGGAGCTCGGCCACGCCGTCGGGGATGGCGCGGAAGTACTCCAGGCTGGCCCGGTGCACCTTGCAGCGGTACCTGCCGCAGGTCTTGGCGTACTGCAGGAAGTGGGGCGCCCCAGGGAAGAGGACGTTGTCGGCCAGGATGGTGGCCCCCTCAGCCAGCAGCTGGTGGCTCTCCAGCAGCCGCAGGTCCCGCAGGTAGCAGCGCTTCCAGTGATCCATGAAGACGAAGTCGGCCTTCATCAGGCCGTGCTTCTCCCGCAGTTGGGGGATCACCTCCTCCGAGGGGCCCACGATCAGCTCCACCTGCGCCACAGCACTCTCAGCCCCTGGGGTGGTGTGTCCGGGTGCCCACCCGCCACCCTGCTTCACAGAGTGGTGAGGGGTCCACGTGGGAAAGAATCCTTCTCTTCCCACAGATACCTCCCAGCAGGTGCCACGGTCCCTGCCCGTCTCCCCCCCAGTATCAGGCGCAGGAGCCTTTGCCCCAGTGCCCGGGCGCTCACCGTGTGCTCGTCGAAGCCGGCCAGGCGGATGACCTTCTCGGCCACGGCGGCGTGCTGCGGGTTCCCCTCCACGGTGTAGAGACGGGCGCCCGGGGGCAGCCCCTGTGCCAGCAGCACGGTGCCGTACCCGCAGTAGGTGCCCAGCTCCAGCACCCGCAGCGGTGCCCGCTCCAGCAGCAGCCGCTCCACGATCCGCCCTGACACGGCACGTGTCTGTCAGCACCCGTACCAACAACCGCAGCCGTGCCAGCGGGGCCGTGACCGCACCAGCACCGTCACGGCCGTAGCATTGGTGCCGTGGCTGTGCCCGGTGCGGCCTGCGTGGGCGAGGGTGGCACTCACCTTTGGCAGGCCCCACACAGCTGAGGTGCTCGCAGTGGTAGCACCACTGGTCGAAGGTCTGCAGGATGTGGTGGGGGTCCCCGGGGATGGCGTGGGCCAGCAGGTACTGGAAGGCGCGCTGTTCCCGCGTGGTGCCGGTGAGCCGGTCCCGCAGCCAGGCCACCAGCACGGCCCGGTACAGCAGCACCAGGTAGTGCCGGTACCGGATCAGCAGGGTGACGAGGAAGGGGAGGAAGGCCAGTGCGATCGCGGGAGACACCATCACAGGGGAGTGAGGCTGGGGAAAGAGCCCCCACCCGGGGGATATGGGAGTGGGGGTCCTCCCAGAGTGCCAGCCCCACAGCTCCCACTCATGCCACGAGTTGGCTGCGCTCTGCACACCCTGCAAATGTCTCTGCCTGGGCTCTGGTGCTGCTGGGCCTGCGGGGCTGAGACACCCTGAGATGCTCTGGGGGTCCCTGTGCCAGGTCTGAGGGGTGCTGGGGTCCCAATATTGGAGTCTGCAGGACTGGTGTTGTGGGCAGGGTTGGGCTGCTCTAAGGGGCACTGTCCAGCACAGCCCCTCGTATCCCTCCTTGGCCCAGCTTTGCTGCCCTCACCCCCTATATCCTGCCCCACAGCCTGCTCCCCACACCCTGAGCTGTTGGGGGTCCCCAGACACAGCAAGAGGACAGGGCCATGGGGGTGGCACCTACCTGTCCCCACACTCCAGATAGGCAGAGGCAGGCACTCCTGCGTGGGGCCCTGCTGCTACTCAATTATTGATGGTGTCACCTTAGCTGCAGGCACCACTGGCTCGGGTTACCAGCTCATTGGGGCCAGGGCCGGGCTGGGGCTGCGGGGCTGCAGGAGCAAGCCTGGGCCTGGGATGCTGATACAGTGTCAGCTGGGGTCCTGACACTCTTGTCTGGGGTGCCAGTACTGGGGTTGGGGTCCCCAAACTGGGGGCTGGGGCCCCAGTACTGGCATGCTGATACTGGCAGCACTAGTCCTGATAGTAGAGCTGGAGTCCTGTCACTGGAGCTGGGGCCTGATACTGAAGCTGGGGGGCCCCAACACTGGGGTCGGGATCCTGATACTGGAGCTGGGGTTCCGAGACTGGGGCTGGGAGCACTGGGAGCAGCATAATCAGTGGAAGCACCGTGGCATTGGGAACACTGGGAGCATGGGGGCACTGGGAACACTAGGAACGGCGGCAACGGGGGCACTGAGAACACTGGGAACACTGGGACCATGGGAACACTGGGAACACTGGGACCATGGGAACACTGGGAACATAGGGGCGTAGGGAACAGTGGAAGCATTGAGGACACTGGGAACAGTAGGATCAGCGGGAGCACTGGGGCACCGCGAACGTGGGGACAGTGGGAACAGTAACAACAGCGGCAGCACGGGGGCACTGAGAGCACCGGGAACGCAGGGAACGCTCGGAGCACCGGGAGCACCGGA